TGCTGTGGTTTGTCCCCTGTTCCAACTAGGAAGCAGTCCTTGGTGGAGGTACCCATCCAGGGGTACAGGGAGCTCTCTCACAGATGTTTTCTCTGCTGCAAAGCATTTTGAGAAATATAAAGAGGATTTTAGAGAAAAGCAGAAAGTTGCTGAAGTAAATAGAGCTGCAATGATAGCAGTGGTTTCTGCTTCACAGCCTGTGGCTGGAAGGGAAAATACTGATAAGTTGGTGAAGCAACCTGAGAAATGTGACATGTTATAATTGTGGCAACCATGGTCACATAGCTAGGAATTGCAAATGCCCAAGAAAGAAATTGAATGTTGGTAAAGGACGAGAAGGTTATAGTTTTGACAGACGAATTCATAGACAGTTCTCCAGTGCAATCGGTCCACAGAGAGCACAGTGGATATAGACAGGATAGTAATGTACAAGATTGACTAACTGACATACCTGTTCATATCTCTGACGTATTATTATATTTATTAACACACAGGTGCAAGGTAAAACACTGACATTTTTGGTGGACACTGGAGCTCACCGTTCCTGTCTCTCCAAAGACTGGATGTGAAAATTTCCCTTAAGCTTAGATCTACCCATCCTTGCAAAGGGTGTGGGTGACAAAGCAATTCCACACCCTGTTTCTCAGCCCTTAAACTTTCAATTGGCATTAGTGAATTTACAGGTAAAATTTCTTGTAAGCCGTTTGCTGGAAAAAGATTTGCTGTGTGATATGGGTTGTACCATACCTTGCACTCCTAAAGGCCATATTATTTTAGAACTTCCTGAGTATGAGGAATTGTATTTGGGAAGTTTAGAAGAAGTGGTCAAAGATACGGAATTACCAATGACTACAATAGGTTTTGATGCTGCATATCCACTGGCAGAAAATGTTACAGATGAAATGTTGAAAGGGCTACCTGAATGCATATTGGCAGTCCCAGGTGAATCTGCAGGGTTAATTTTGGAAGAATCCCCAGTTAAGATAAAATTAAAACCAGGTATCAGCTTACCAAGAGTTAATCCCTTAAGGACAGAGCTTCAGAAGTTTGTCTTTCACTTAATGTCAATAACAGCATTTTTTTCATTTTTTTGCTCTTTGCCTTCAACTGCAATTTGCATTTTACTAATTTATTGAACCGACACATATTATATACCATTTTTTAAAGGACAGAAAGGGCTTTAATTTGATGTAACACACATATATATATATATATATATAAATGCTTATTTATTATAAAAAAATACAGAAAAATGCAAAAAAAATGAAAATGTTTGTGCTTTATTTACAGTTTTTGCAATTATAATGTGTGCATAATTAATTTAGTTGTTCTGATTTACAGAATATATAATGTGTCTGGGATTTTAAGTTTTTTTTGGTAGTTACAGGTCACAAAGTACAATGAGTAAAATAAACTTTTAATGTGGAGCGATTTTAGAATTTGGTATGTTTGTCTTGTAAGCGTAATAGCCATAAAAGAAAACAAAATTGCCACACAAAAGTATATATTTATGGGGGGGCGGAGCTAGCCGTGACCGAGAATGCCCGCTTGAAAACGGAGCTCCGAGCGCCGCGACGGGCAATCCGCAGCCATCAGGCTTAATCAACAAAATGGGACACCCCAAAAGAATGTCCACAGCCTCCCAACAAGCCGGCAAACTGCATAGGCCGAAAACCGGAGCGCTCACCAAATATTTCAAAGATCACGGCGACCAACAGCCCGACCATGCAGGCCCCAATATGGCGCCGGAAGAATTCTCCCAATCACCCCCATCCAGCCCTGCAGCATCTGACACACTGTCACAGGATCTGGACAGGGAAAAAGACAAAGACCTGAGGGAGATTCTGAGAAACCTCCCATCTAAGCAAGACCTCGCAAACATGCTGCAAAAACTGGAGGTGACTTTCCAGAAAAAAATGGACGACATCACAGCAGAAGTAACACAGGTCAGTGAAAGGGTCAACTTACTAGAAAGCGACCAAGACTACACAGCCACACAAATGCAAAATCTCCAAAGTACACTAACAGCACATAATGCCCAAATAGCATCCATGAATAGAATGATAGATGACTTAGATAACAGAGGGCGCAGAAACAATTTAAGAATAAAGGGCATCCCAGAAAAAGAGGGGGAAGATCTAAAGGTAACCCTCCAAGAGCTATTTAATCTTATACTGCAAAGAGATGTATCAACCCCTATAGCACTGGACAGAGCCCACAGGGCACTCAGGCCCAGAAACCCCATGGCAGAGGCACCCAGAGACATAGTGTGCAGACTGCATTACTACTCTATTAAAGAAGACATACTCAGAAATCTCCGCCAGATGACACAACCTCTGCTATTCCATGAGGCACCTGTGCAAATCTTCCCAGATCTCTCCTGGATGACGCTGCAGGCGAGGAGGACAATGAAACCCCTCACAGACCTACTGCGCTCTAGGAACATAAGATACCGCTGGGGATTCCCTCTGGCCCTTACTGCCACGCATAATGGTACAACAGCAACTCTATCCTCAGCAGAGGACGTACGGGTCTTCACCTCGGCCCTAGACCTACCGGACATATACATACCAGACTGGTATGGGCCGCTACAACCCCCAAATCGCTCACAGATGACCCACAAGCAAAGAGGGCAGACGCCATCCAAACGCAGAAGTAACGACCAAACGCACCACCAAGGAGGTTCCAGACCGAGAGCTGGCCCCCCGGCCCTTCGATGGGACCCAAGGCACGTGACGACGACCACCAGCTAAGAAATCACTGCCCTAATCGACAAAGACCCAACTAAGGTTTAGAGATCTATAACGACCACCAACAATCCAGAAATTCACCCACAGAGACTGCATCTCAAGGCTCCACCCTAGGGACACAATACTTGAGCATCACAAGGAAACCTACAAATCAGGACATCTCCCACGACAACCTGGACTTGCTCCGGACCGCGAGTTCTATGAAAAGGTGACTCTCCATTCCACCGACACTCCTGGATGACACTGGTTCTGGACTGAAAGACCACATTTTGTCAGCAGGGACGAGGACACACAGAAACATGAGGCAATGGCACTCCGGAGGGGTATGAGAAAGGAAAAAAAAAATGTATGTTTTGCGGTAAATGAATGTATACGTAAAGACTCTGCTGACAAGCATAAGGCCTCCCCTCACCCCCTAAATCACCCCAGCCCCTCCTCCCCCTTTAGCCTAATAATCTACCACTCTCATAAATACACTGAGTGGCATCTCGGGTAACGGTATACCACTCCCACTCCCCTGTCCCCTTCTCCACTCTCCCACTACTAACCCCTCTTCTCCTTGGCAACAACCTCAAGGAATGCCCCTGAGGTCACTTGAGATCTGATTGATTGTCTTACCGGGAAATGTATACCATGATGTGTCAATTAATGGACGGTTTTCTATTTTATGTTCTTTGGGAGAGTTGCATATGTTATGGGAAAAATATCTGTCTCACACTACACTTCTTGTGCACACCCGAGCAAGCAATTGAGATGCAAGCCTCCTCCAATTACGAGGCAGAGCCCTTGCCCAAGGGGACACATAAAGCCTACCCCTAGACTATTAGGCAACCCACTAGAGGCAACCTGCTCCACAAGCACACAATCTTACCTGTCCCAATAATTTGATCCCCTTGCCTGATCCACTACTCACTACTGACAACTATCCATAGGATTGCCCGTCTCTCGCGAGACATTTAATAACAACACCCCAACTTACCACCTCCCACGAAAATAAAACCTCGATAGCAGGTGGAAAGACTTGAGCGGCCAAAGCGGTGCCCGTGCAACTCCCCAAAGGCCCCAAAGCCTCTCAAGGGGAAAGCCACCGACAGACAAGGCTGCCAACTCTTCCCGTCAACACCAAACATCTCAATTTCTTGCTCCACCTGCCTACACACAATTTTGTATATAGTTCATTTGTTATCGGTTATCTTCCCCTGGTACACAATACGTGAACGACAGAACACACAGTTCACACAATTTCCATCATGGCAAACCTCAACATAGTTACCCTCAACGTCAGGGGTCTTAACTCCCCGACAAAAAGAGCACTAACGCTACACGAACTCCACAAACTTAGAGCTGATGTGGCATTTCTCCAGGAGACCCACCTAAAAGCAGACTCCACCATCACTATTCGCAACAGACAATACCCCACAGGATATTTCAGCTCCTACACGGACGCAAAATCCAGAGGGGTAGCCATCCTCATAGGGGCACAAACACCATATACTCACACGTACCAATACACAGATCCAAACGGTAGGCTACTCATAATTAAAGGCAAAATTGGCAATACAACTGTAACTTTCGCAAATATCTACCTGCCAAATACCAAACAACACAAGCACCTACGTAAATACCTCAACATAATCGAAAAACATGTCGAAGGCATTCTTATACTCGGAGGTGACCTAAACATGTCCCTTGACTCGGAATTAGACACTACTTCCAGCTCCACGACATACAACGCCGCTACCAGAACCACGATGTCCAGACTATTAGACAAATCTTATTTATTTGACTGCTGGAGAACTATACACCCACAAAGACGAGACTACTCTTTTTACTCAACGGTCAAACACACATACTCTCGTCTGGACATGCTATTTGTTCCTCACAGACATATACACTTAATTCAATCATGTGAGTATGGCTTGATCACATGGTCGGACCATGCCCCCTTGTCTCTAGTTTTTCAAATCCCAACTCTGACACCCAACAACTTCCAATGGAAACTAAATGACACCATGCTGAATGACACAGCCACGGTCGATACACTAACAACCACACTACAACACTACTTTGAGGAAAATACATCCCCGTCCATATCCCCGACAATAACCTGGGAAGCTCATAAATCAGTAATGAGAGGACACATCATAGCTATAGCCTCCAAACTCAAGAAAAAGAAAGATGCCCAAATCACTGATCTCCTGCGAGATATCCGCCTAATTGAACAGACACACAAACACAACCTCTCCCTAGACCTCTATAAACAACTAGTTGACAAACGCACAACCCTACAAACCCTGTTAAATTCCAAAATCAAAAGATTACTCACTCACACCAAATATTCATTTTACACTCAAGGAGGAAAATGCGGGCGAATGCTAGCCAAAGCCCTTCAGCAAAACACGCAACGCACATACATAACCACGATCAAAAGCAAAGATGGGACACGCACTCACCTAATCCCAGCCATACTTAAAGAATTCCACGCCTTCTACACAAACCTGTATAACCTCAGACAGACGCCACCACGACCAGAGGAAATTACCCATTTCCTCTCTAACCGAATCACGCAAACGATCCCCACAAACGTAAGACAATCCATTGAAGGACCCCTAACAGACGAAGAATTTAGATTGGTAGTTAAAAACCTCCCCATAGGCAAGAGCCCAGGACCCGACGGCTTCACTACCAAATACTTCAAAACATTCACAAATCTGCTTTGCAAACCCTTTGTCACTGCCTTCAATTCACTGGCTTTAGGACACAAACTCCCAGTAGAATCCTTAGAAGCCCACATCACATTGATCCCCAAACCTGGAAAGGACCTAGAGGAATGTGGGAGCTACCGCCCAATCTCTCTAATAAATTGTGATTTGAAAATCTTCACTAAGATTCTTGCCAACCGGCTGAAACCACTCCTGAACGGACTGATTCACCCGGATCAATCAGGGTTTGTACCGAATAGGGAGGCCAAACATAACACTACGAAACTCCTAAGCCTAATACACACAGCCAAAGGAAAAGGACCCCAGAGCCTCATTTTAACTATAGATGCCGAGAAGGCATTTGATAGGGTAGACTGGTCCTTCCTCATGACCACAATGAAAACTCTGGGCTTCGGCCAACAATGGATACAATGGCTTGCAGCCATATATTCAAAACCGGGAGCACGAGTACGTGTAAACGGCCAATTGTCAGATACCATACAAATAACCAATGGTACAAGGCAAGGCTGTCCCCTCTCCCCACTACTCTTCATCCTCACCATGGAGCCATTCCTACAAGGAATAAGAGACAACCCAAACATATCTGGCATTAAAATAGCAGAGCAGGAATACAAGGTCTCCGCTTTTGCGGACGACCTACTGTTCACCCTATCTAATCCAAAAACATCCCTACAACACCTTATACAAGAGATAGAGGCATATAATGCAGTCTCCAATTACAAAATAAACATGGGCAAGAGCGAGATACTCCCGCTCAACATACCGAACGCCACACAAACAGCGCTCCGCGTCACCTATCCATTCCACTGGCCCACAGAGTCAATTAGATATCTGGGAGTCCAACTCACAACCACACTGTCACGCCTATACGCCCTTAACTACACAACCCTTCTAAACAAAGTAGATACCGAACTCAAATCGTGGAATAAACCACAATTCGGTTGGCTCTGCAGAATCCACATCTTAAAGATGATGATTCTCCCCAAGTTTCTATATATAATGCAAACCCTGCCTATTAAAATACCAAGGCCTTTCTTCTCCCTCTCCAGGCGACTATTCAACAACTTTATATGGTCAGGTAGACCCCCGAGGCTACAATACGAATGCCTCACAAAAAGCAAACAACGAGGAGGACTAGGCCTACCAGACTTGGAAACGTACCACAAAGCCATTATCCTCACGAGGATTTATGAATGGTCATACCCTAAAAACACAGCCCAATGGGTACAGATTGAGGCCAGCTTTCTCACGACACCGATATATGCCATACCCTGGCTCGCTAACAAGACCGACACGAAAACGCGCTCAGGGACCTCTCATCCCACAATCACACACACAGTGAAACTTTGGTCGACCATTAGGAGAGACAAACACCTAGCACCACATCCATCACCACTCTACCCACTAACGGGAAACCCCTCCTTCCCCCCAGGCATGGACCACAGGGCGTTTAGAAACTTCCCCAAACAAGCCCATACACTGACTTTGGGAGATGTCCTAAAAGACCAGGGGGTCACTCCCTTTGAACAACTACTACCCACTGAATCGCAAACGGGAATGACACGACTGAGACACGAGCAACTCAAACATTTTCTGAACACAAACCCACCACTATCACAAGGCCATAGAACCCACACTCTATACGAGACCCAATGCGCACAACACAGCATCCGGAGGGGCCACATATCCTCCTTTTATAAACAATTATGCCGACGAAAGGACGAACTCCTACCTACCTATACATCCAAGTGGGAAGCAGAGCTGGGGATACAAATGCAAACCAAAGAGTGGTATAAAATATTCGCCAATGTCTTCCGCACATCCAAAAGCAACAGCACACATGAGAGCAATTACAAACGAATAGCCAGATGGCACTACACACCAACCCGCATCCACAGATTCTTCCCAAACGCACCAAACACATGCTGGAGGTGCAATAGAGCGGAGGGAACCACAAGCCACATCTGGTGGCAATGCCCAATAATAAGTAAATTCTGGGCCCAGATAACGAACGTTATTTGCACTATCACGGGACACAAACTACCTCAAGACCCTAAAGTCTTGTTGTTTTTAATGTATCCCAGCCCCCTACCCAAACACTCACGCACACTGATCAACCACCTTTTAACGGCAGCAAACGCCATCATCCCAACCAAATGGAAGCAAACTGCAGCCCCTACGATCAGAGCCTGGATAGAAAGGGTAGACGCTATCAGAGAAATGGAGGAACTAGCGTACTCCTTTTCACTCAAATACCACGACTACACGGCCACTTGGGCACCATGGTTAACTTTCATACGTAACACACCCCCACAAAGGCTATAGACCCACATACCCAAACAGACAAATCTATCACAATGCAACAATCCACACTGACGAGGTTCCACGCCACGATGGTACATACCAGCTATACCAGGAAAGTTCACCACCCACCCCAATGTACTGTTATGTTATGTTATGTTTTGTTTTCTACTTGTATGTTGAGAACACACCACTCATGCAAAGTGAACAACGGTTAAAATCAAACCGCACTCGAGTACTCTGTCCAAGGGTACCGCACACAAACGAATGCTAAAACGTAACGAGCTCGAACAGTTACTACAACCGTTCTGGGCTCTCAAGCATGGTAACAATGTATAACATACAAAAGTTCGTTGAAACCAGATTGTATACTGCAAAACAGATGTTGTAATCTTGCATTATTACCCAATAAAAATGTGAAAAAAAAAAAAAAGTATATATTTATATAAAGTAGACATCACAGGCTATTTACCTAGGGTTGTTTTGACACTTTCTACATAGCCATTTCACCACCAACCTCTGCTAAATATTGGAGTAAAATTGTGGGGTTTTTTTTGGTTTTTGGCACACAAACTTATAACAAAGAAATTCTCATGTGTATTTTGTAAAGTTGGTGTGTGCTATTCCTGTACAAAGTTTTATTTTGTGTTCAGTTACATCTGCTGAGTAAAATGACACCCCCATTGTATGTCTTTGGCACTATTTTGTGAAGTTACAGTGCCATATAGGAGGCCTGTTCTTTTCAGTATTCACAGTAGAATTTTGAGAGACGGATTTAATGAGCCTATCCATTTGGGGTATTATAACAGTTTGACTGTTCAAAAAAGCCCACAAAGGCCTACCATTTGTAAAAGTAGACACTCCAGGGTATCTCATAAGGTGCATATTGTGCCTTAACCTTCCCCCTATTTGTTCACCAATATATGCCAAAGTATGTGGTAAAAAATAATTTTGTGCGTTTTTTACACATGGATTTCATTTTTGCTGGGCATTTTGTATATTTCACATGTGCCACTAAGTTCAAACCCCCCAAATTATGCTCAGCTAAGTCTGAGTAAAATGACACCCCCATTGTATGTCTTTGGCACTATTTCGTGAAGCTACAGTGCCATATAGGAGACCAAGCCATATCAGTTTTTACCAAACTTTGAATTTTGACGCTGGGCCTATGTGCAAATTCGAAGCATCTTAGCAGGGTTTAAATTCAAACTACCCCACAAAGGCCTACCATTTCTTAAAGTAGACACCCCAGGGTATTTCAAAAGGCATATTTTGAACCTTAGCGTGGGATCATTTTTCCACTAGCTTGTACCAAGTGTAGTGGTTATAAGTGTTTTTTCTGCCTTTTTGACACACAAAGTAAGTTTGCACATTATATTTTGCAAACCTTATGTGTGCTACGACTGTATAATACTTCATATGTTGCTCAGCTATGTCGTCTGAGTACAGCAATACCACCGTATGTACCCTTGCCAGGTATATGTGGATGTTGAAGGAGCGCATTTGAGACGCAGCCATTCAGTTTTTTTCTAACGTTGAAGTTTTACGCTTTGTCCATGTTCCAATCTGGAGTAGGTTAGACGGTTGGTTATTGAAACTTGCCCACAAACACATACTATTTATTAAAAAATACACCCTGGGGTAATTCAAAAGGCATATTTTGAACCTTAGCGTGGGATCATTTTTTCTCTAGTTTGTTCCAGGTGTCGTGGTAATGAGCGTTTTTAAATGTATTTTTTTACTTTTTGAAACTTTTTTTACTTTTAAAAACTAGCTTTTAAACTTTTGTTTTGCTTATTAATTTTTTTTTAAACTTTCCTAAACTTTCTTAAAACTTTTTTTTACAGATTTAACATTTTTCTAAGCTTTTTTTTTTACCGTTAACCCCTAACTAGCAGTAAGCAGCACTAACAGTAAATTCTCAATTTTCCCATAACTCCCACCCACCCCAGCTAGCAAAATATATAATTATAAAATATTTAAATTAATTAATTAAATAAATTGAACCCCTGAAGGTTAAAAAATAAATAAAAGTTAATCCTCAGTGGTTAAAATAAACTAGATCACAGTATAATACTGTGATCTGTATTTTGATCACTATAGGCAGTGATCGACTGGCAGGGAAGGGGTTAATTTTTATTTGGACTGGGTAAAGGGGGGTGTTTTTTTATTTTTTACTTAAACGTTATTAAAACTTTTTTTATCTTAATTTTTAACTTTTTAAAGTTTATTTTAAAACTTTTTTTAACGTTAACCCCTAGTTAGCCTAACACCAAATCCCTCAATTCCCCACTAGCTTCCACCCACCCCAGCTAGCTAAATATATAATTTTAAAATATTTAAATAATTAAATAAATTTAACCCCTGAGGGTTAAAAAAAGAATTAACCCTCAGGGGTTAAAAAAAACAAAAAACAGATGACAGTAAAATGTAATCCCTGCCAATTGATCACTGTAGTCAGTGATCAATTGGCAGGGAAGGGGTTAATTTTTGATTAAAATGAGTAAAGGGGGGTGGGATTTTAAATAAACTTTATTTTTTTTTAACAGGGGGCAGGATCA